CCCCCCCCCGCCCAAAAAAAAGCCAAGCAACATTATCATAGGATTTCCTCAGCAGTATATACTCACGATTCCTTCAGACTTATCACTGCTGGACAGGCTACAGACTCTCACCATAAGATAGCACTGGTGTCTGGTGATTGGCCTAGCGCTGTCACATAGATGGACTCACATGGCTCTCTAAATTCAGAATACCACTCCCCCAGATAATGGTTCTTATATTATGGACTTTACAACAGGAAGAGCAAGAACACTTAAAAGTGTATGGAAGCGGCCAAAACTCTCAAATAGACAGAGAGTTGGAAATTATGGCAGGAATATCTCAGTAAAAGAGTATCCCAAACACAAGAAACCAAAAGCTGACTCAGACCTCCAGGTTATCAGCCATAACCAAAATATCACTTTTGGGTGAACTTGCGCCTTAAGGCATATAATGCTGCTTAACCATCCACTGAATGTTGTCCTCTTTAAGATAATACTCAAACAAAAAAAAGTGAACAAATGATGCATAAAATAATATATAACATGAGAAAGATAAATACCAAATGAAAATTAGAGAGAAAAAGAAGCATTAAAAAAAAAAAAATGTGCAGACCCACTTGGCAAGTAATAACGTTAAATTTGAAGGGCCAGTTTGTTCACATCTAAATGCCTAAGTATGTTGCTCACTAGGAAACATTTGTGTTTTAAGTTGATTGAAGTGCTGTCCATCAATGAAATTAGAGGTTCAAGTAACCCAGTGATTTGTGAAGGAAGACAATTTGATACAGGATTCAAATTAACACGCAATGAACACCTCCCAGATCAGCTTGCAGCAAGAAACATTCAGACACTGAAGAAAAAGAACAGGAATTTCGAAATCAGTGAGATATCCATAAAGTTTTAAACTGTCAAGCTATACTGCCACCTACAGGAGAATTGGATACTGGCAAACAAAACTATAGTCCTGGCCAGGATAACCCCTTTTACTACCAGCATGCCTCAGTTTTGTAGTAATGCATTACCAAGTGCATGATCCCATACAAAGAGGAGTGGAAACAGTGCTCCCCAATGTACTCCAAGAAAATAATTTTTCGGTGAGTACAAAAATCCTATTTTCTTTCTCCCCCACTTCCTAGCGGTTAGCATTGTAGGAATGAAAAACTCAGAGATGCCCCTGTCCATCAAGACCTGGGTCACAATAGCAATGCCATTAAAGCCGGCAACTGTTAAGCAGAGCCGCAAATTAGTCTTTGGGACAGAAGATCCTGGCGATCCAGCAAAACCCACAGAACATCTGCCAGGTCTTTTCAGGTCAGGGTACCATATCCGCCTGAGCCAGTCTGTAGCTATGAGGATCGCCAGAAGGCCATCTGTCTCAAATCTGCAAAGTAGATTAAGAAGTGATTTCAGAGCTGGGAAAGCGTATATCAGGGTGTACTGATCCTATGGAGCCACCAGAGCATCCACTGCTTCCACTTGAATATCCCTATATTTGGAGACAAACCTGTCCAGTTTGCTGAACCTGCAGGCCAGGAGGTCCACATACTATCCCTCAAAGGCCATGGAACCAGCACTGGCAGAAGCAACAAGCTAATCCTCTAGTATCGGAGTGATGCACACTTCAATTAGAGCTGAAACAGCCTCCTTTAATTTGGGTGTAACAGCAGTAGACTGGGGCTCCTCAGGGGTGAGCCTATCAGTAAAGGACTGAAGCGACTCAGAATCAGTCTCTGCAGCTGATTGCTCAGAAGCCACGGGCGAATCAGATATAGAATCTGTGGGAGTATGCTTGTGGCCTCTATGATTGGAATCCATAAATAACAGAGTAATGTGGGTCATGAAGTCTAACAAGACTATGATAAAACCTCAGATGAAAAAAGAGAAGGTCCAACCACACCTGATGGAGCAGAGAAAAACATGATTCCAGTATGCAGATGTCAAAACGGTCAGTAGGCATGCTGCAATCAACCTTGGAGCATTCAGCAATGTGTACTCAGGGGTACCTAGTAAAGCTAGGTATTTCTACTTTTGCAACCAAATTAGACGAACACATTTTATATTTGTTAAATATTCTCATTTACATAATGTTGCTTGTATATTACATGCTCTATTCTGAAAGAATAGAAAGCTGTTCCATTGACAATATATTAAATTATACGAAATGCAAGGGGTGTGGTTAATATTGACATAATTTACCCTGTTGTGTACTGTGCTGGCAGATCTCATTATCAGTTGTGAGCTGGATTTGAACACTGCCTGTCCTAACAAAGGGTTAATGAGTAAAGGCATTATATGTTAATGAGGGGAAGCTCAGAGTGTCCCTAGCTTTTTTATGGGAGAGACAGGGTTTCCCGTCACTCTGGAAATGAGAGAGAAGCTTGCAAATGCCTGCCACACAGAAACATCTAAAAAGGTTAAAAAATATATTTTGAAAATAAATTTTTAGGCATGTTGCGTATAAAAGAACACTGCAAAAATGGAAATGCGCGTTAAACTTCACTCTCTGGCATCATTCAGACCTAAGAACTTTCACACACATTACAACTCACAGGAAATCAAATGCAAATTGAGAATTACTAAGAATGGTGCTGTGCAAACATTAGTGTTGTACTGAGGCGCCCTCAATAAAAACTAAATATTGAGCAGCTTTTTTTGTCAGCTTCTGTTTTACTCAAGGTTATTTTTTCAGTATGTCTATAAAAGGTTCTGATTTATCCATGTCATAGTATAGCTAGTAGTTAGTCACATTTAACTGGACCAGTTCAGTTACATGCAGAAGACAGTATGGCACACATCTAGGTTCATTGCAGAGAATGTCCCTCTGAATGTGACTAACTACTACTAGCCATTGGTTTCAGGTTTTTGTTGCAGGTTCGGTTCCAACAAGTTTCCATGGAATAGAATGGTTATGGCATGCATAAGTCAAGCACAACAGAAAGCTTGTGGGTACAATTCTGAGAAAAGTGCCACTAAATCACATATATGAAAGGTCAAAATGACTCAGTGGTAAATACAAATAAAGGGGGAGTATTGCGTAATAGAATTGCTATCTGGTTTTAAAGTGAGTTTAAGGTTACCAAATAAAACGATAAAATGTTTATACAAAGAATTTGGCTGGTACATGGTTTCCATGTTCTTGCTACTTCGTTAGTAATGGATACAATATTGCTATGCTGAGATGTTCTATGATTTAGAAGAGCACTCTGGCTAAAAAGGTTTTTGGATGGTGAGATTGTCAATGCAAAAAAAAAAAGGAGCCTGCACTCAGTCTGCTTCTTATTACTTTTTATTTGTTCCAAAAGCAGTGAAAAATACTTATTTGCTGATTAGTTTCCGAGTTATAGTTATAGCACATTTAAGCACCAAGTAAAGCCAGAGTTACATACAGCGATTAATTATTAAAGCAAGGAAACTGGCATTTTAACCACTTGAAGACCGCGGCATTTCACCCCCTTCCTGGCCAGGCCATTTTTCAGTGTTCAGCGCTGCGGTACTTTGGCTGACGTTTATTCCGTCATGCAACGCTGTACTGAAATGAATTTTATACAATTTTTTTGGGGACAGATAGAGCTTTCTTTTGGTGGTATTTAATCACCGCTGGGGTTTTAATTTTTTACTATATAACAAAAAAAGTACCCTAAATTTTGTAAAAAAAAACATGTTTCCCTATAAAATGTTATGAAACATTTATTTTCACCCCAATTTTTTGGTAAAATATAAAAGTCGGGGTCACGTCAGGTAAATAGACACAAACGGCCATGGACGGAAGGTGGTTAAGGGGGAGGTCCGCAGTGGTAGATTATACACCTACTGACCGATTTCAGTCAGATACACATTGTAATAATATCCTCCATTTTCACAGTTTTACTAGCCCTATGTTCCAGTTATAGCAGCTGCACAGTGTGTCTAAATATTGCTGTGCAGTCCAATAGGCGCCAGAGCTTGACTTGGTGCACTAGGTAATCTTTAGAGCTGCAACAATTATTCGAGTAAGTCGATTAAAATCGACGATGGAAAACATTGTCAACATTTTCCATTGTCGATTCGTAGGCTAAAATTCGATTTTATTCGTATAATTCGGTGTATTATACATTGGTTTTCTGCATTGCATTGTATTGTGCATGGTGTTCTGCATTGTATAATACAGCGACACACTGCAGAACACCAGCAGCTATAGAGGAACACCAAATCCCAGCAATAATACATTAAACAGCCTGTATAATGTATTATTGCTGGGATTTGTTGTTCCTCTATAGCTGCTGGTGTTCAGCAGTGTGTCGCTG